GGGGTCCAAACACACGTGTCTCGAGATGTTCGGGCCTCATGCAGCAAGACTGGACGATGTATGGCGGAACCCTGTTAACTCCTGGGGAAGTAACATGCCTGCCGCTTACAAGAGGATGCTGAGAGGGAGACCTACAAAGGCCGCTCGACCCTTTCGAGACGGCCTCGACGAGGATAAGGAGGTGGTGAACACCATTTCAGATCGCCAAGGTCAACGACCCAACCTTGGTCACCTATCTCGAAAGAACAAGGTTTGCTATGGCTGCGGGGGCCATGGGCATTTCATTCGAGAGTGCAAGCGCGGTCGGAAGACCCCTGCGACGGGCTCCAATGCCGTTGCAGCCGCTTACGATCAGGGAAAAGGTCGGCGCCAGGAGTGAACGACCTGGCGCAAGAAGATGAGGACGTTGACGATCATGTCAACATAGCCACAGAGTTCTTTTCGAACTCGCCTACGGCCGATAAGGTCCTTGTTCCAGTAGGTATATGTGGTACTCATATACAAGCAATGTGCAACACCGGTGCATCCAACGCGTATATGAGTGCCGATCTAGTGAAGAAGCTTCAGTTAAATATCAGTACGAAGGACCCTGCGGTGGTCCGTGTAGCTGATGGAAGGAACGTTCGAACTCTAGGAAGAGTTTCCCTGCAGTGCCAGATCATGGGATCTGAGGTATTACTGATTGCCTCCGTAGTGAGCGATCTCTCCCACAAACTCATTTTAGGACTGTCGTGGTTGAGGAAGTTGGGTATACTTATCGATACAAAGACGGGTACGGCATCAATGGCCATCCCCGCACCTGAGGAACGGATTAGCATGATGGGGGACGCTTCATTCTGCACTCCGAAGAGCTTCTGGAAGCAGAAGAAAACGAAGGAGTCTTGTTTTCTACTGATGATCCGTGAAGCTGCCAACGACGTCACGGATGTGGATCCGAACACCCCGCCGGGCTCACATGACGATGCGTTGGACAAAATCCTACTAGAGTACAAAGCGGTCTTTTGTAAGGAGTTACCCCTCGTCGAACGACCGGACGAGATCCCTCCAACTTGTACCTTGAAGGATTCGATCATCCCCACAGAAGGTGATCCTGTCAACATCAGATCCTACCAGCTCACCGCAGCACAGCTACGAGAGCAGGATCAACAAATAGAAGGATTGGTCGAACGGGGGCTCATCCGCGAAAGCTCATCGTCGTGGGGCTTCCCCGTTCTCTTCGTTCCGAAGAAAGGAGGCGAGTATTGGATGTGTATCGATTACCGGGCGTTGAATCAACGAACCCGTAAGAATCGGTACCCATTGCCCAGGATACAGGACTGCCTCGACCAATTAGGACTAGCGAAGGTGTTTTCGAAGCTCGATTTGACGTCCGGATACTGGCAGATCAGATTGCCCCCATCCGACGTCGAGAAAACAGCCTTCAACATGCAAAACGGAAAGTGGGAGTGGCTCGTCATGCCTTTTGGCCTCGCGAACGCCCCTTCGACGTTCCAAGCGATCGTCAATCGCACCCTTGGCAAGTACATCGGCAAGTTTGTCATCGTGTACTTGGACGATATCCTCATCTTTTCGGATAGCGTAGAGGAGCATCGAGAACACGTTCGACTCGTCCTGGCCGCGTTGAAGGAGGCTAAGCTGTACGCTAAGCCGTCGAAGTGTGCCTTCAACATGAAGGAGATCGACTTTTGTGGTCATCTTGTAGGGGACGGCAAGGTATGCCCCCTCAAAGACAAATTATGGGTGGTGAAGGAGTGGCCGACGCCAAAAACAGCTCACGATGTCCGGAGCTTTGTTGGCCTCACCACCTACTATAGAAGATTTGTCCAAGGGTTTGCGAAGATCTGCGCACCCTTGCATGATCTGCTGAAGGGGTCTTCTCCTTCAGCAAAAGCAGAACAAAAGCGGGAAGTTGTCTGGTTACCAGAACATCAAGACGCCTTCGATCACCTAAAAGTCCGGTTGTGCGCGGCGCCTGCCCTGGCACAGCCAGACACATCCAAGCCGTTCTTTGTGGAAACAGATGCGTCCCAGTACGCAATCGGTGCGGTACTGTTGCAGGAGACTACGGATGGCAAAATGCATCCCGTAGCCTATGATGGACGCAAAATGAAGCCCGCCAAACTTAACTACAGCGTCTCGGAGCAAGAGCTACTGGCCATCAAGTATGCTCTCAATACTTGGAAGCACTATGTGGACAACGGTTTCACGACAACGATTCTGACTGATCACCAGAACCTAGAAACTATTCCACGTACAAAGGTTGCTTCGAAGCGCCTAGCACGATGGCTAGAGGAGTTCCAAGAAGTGGACTTGGACATTAAGTATCAGCGCGGCGAACTAAATATACCTGCTGATGCCATTTCACGGCGGGCAGACTGGGTCAACAGTCTGAATGAGGAGCCTTCGACACTGGAAGATTTGCGTCGATGGTTCTTAGGTAACGCAACAGACCCGCCGGAGTCCATTGCGGCGGATCTTAAGAACTGGCGTTACGACCCTCGTACGGAGCGACTTCTACATAGAGTCGCTGGCGCACGAGCTGAAGAAGATTGGTTCGCACCATATGTGGAACCACAGCATAGGGCTGCAAAGATGTACGAGGTACATCGAGAAGGAGGTCATTCTGGCTATCAGAGGCTCAAACACCTGTTCGTCAGCAAATATTGGTGGCCGAAGCAGTTGCCGGATTTAGAATACTTCATCAAGGCGTGTCCAGCATGCCAAGTGCACAAGCCCACCGTGCCTATGGCAGTCAACAAACGCAAGTACGTAATAGCTGATGAAACCATTAAGCCTTTTCAACGCTGGGGCATCGACCATGTAGGCCCCTTCGACGAATCGCCTAGTGGCAACAGCTACATGATCTGCGCCATTGATTATGCTACCTTGTGGCCATTGGCACGAGCAGTTCCGGACACAAAGACGGAACACGTACTTCGATTCCTGTTGGAAGAGATTTACCCCGTCTTCGGACCGCCAAAAGAGGTATTTAGCGACAATGCGAAGTCGTTTCTGGCAGAAGCAGTGTCGGAACTCTTCTTGCAAAGCGAGACACGACATCGCATTGCAACAGCGTACCACCCACAGACGAACGGGAAGGTCAAAGCCTGGAACAAGCAGATGAAGAGGATGATCAAGACGATGATGTTTGATCGAGGTATACCTCGTAATCGCTGGGATGAATTAGTGCCTTTAATGCTTACAGCAGCGCAATGGCGAACGCATTCGACAATGGGAATAAGCCCTTACAAAGCGGTGTTCGGCTTACGCCCTCCCGTCAATGTAGAGGAGTTCGTCGCGCTTCCTTGGGAAGCGGTGGTAGAGTCCGACGAGCCGCGATGTTCGCAGCAAACCCACTGGCGAACGGCCGCAGGCGCGTCGATGAGAAAAGTCGTGGAACAAGAAGTTAGGCGCTTTAATGCCAAGTATGGTCGTCAAGCAAATTCCTTTAACGTAGGGGACTACGTTATGAAAAGGAACAAGGCGCAGCAGGGCCTCAAAGGCGGATGGTTTGGCCCGTACGTGATTTGCGAAAAATGGGATCGAGGAGCATACGTCCTCGAATCCATGGACCAATTGCGCGAACCCGTGTTCGGAAATCGATTACGCAAGATTACGGAGCCCTTTGGCAAGCAACTTTGGTTCAATGAGGCCGCTCGTACCCACTTTAGACGTGCCGTAAGCGGGCATAGGGGCTATGCTGCTCTTAGGGAAGGAGGAAACGAAGAGTTGGTAGATGACACACCAGAGTCATCGACCGGCTGCATTCCGTGGTCCACTTCGGCACCCCCTACCCAGTAATCGAACACCACTACAACGCGGCCAACGACCTAACGAACAACTTCACAAATCTCGTTCACGACTCATGACGACCAATCACGACAACCAAGGGATGAAGCAAAGGGGAAAGGAGGCATTGATTCGCAAACGCAACGTAGGATACACGAAGTAGTAGTACAAAGAGAAGAAAAGTATTACGAAGAGGAGTACTGGATGGGAGTTAAAGGTCAGAA